AGGAATGCTCCCAGGCAAAGTTAAATCTTCGTTGGTGCTCTGGTCACTTGAGTAATGGCTTTGCAGAAGGCCTGTAAATGTCTTAACAGGATGACAGCCTGCTTTAAGTGTTTTCTGGTTCTGCTAATGTGCCAATAGTTTTCTATCAATTAATGGCCATAGAAGTATTTGCTCTAAAGAGGATGTAAAAATGACCAACCTCTCAAAAGTGCAGAGGAATGAGGGAGTTCTTAAATATATCTACCTAATTCATCCTAAAGGTGCTGGGGGAGGATGGGGCAATGTCACCCTGTTGGTAAATTACTTTCTTTTTTTAAACAAACGGCTTTTCTTCTAGGAGGATGCTTCAGCTAATATCCCATGCAGCACAAATAACTGGACAGTTTCTTCTCTATGCTGGAACATATATGTTGCATTTGATGGGTGAATACGATGAAGATGGCACGTGTACAAGATCAAGACGGGAGTAATGAACACAGCTGCACTTCTGATATCGGATCCTTTTGCTTAAGACATTCTCTTGCCCAATTTTGATTGTAATGATGCTATAGTAGGGAGATGTCCACTGATGTGAACTAACATTTTTCCTCTTTGGGAATGCTTGTAGGCCTTAGTCATAAAATAAGTGTTTGGTGTTCACAGGCTCTTAACACAGCAAAAGGATGGGTGCCTAGTGTGTGACAATTCAGCAAAAGGAAAGAGGGAAGGTTTTTGCTCCAACAACTCAAAATGGAGTATACTTGGAAACTTGCACACTTTGTAACAAGTGGGATATTTCTTGCACTGATCAAAACATAGTTTGGTTGGGTTTTTTCATAGCTGCCTACTTGCCTTCTGAACAGACTGGGCTCTAAGGGTGGAATGGAAGGGGCTGTGTTTTGATTCTTAACAGTGCTGGCATTAGTGTCCAACTGGCACTGAGATGAGGTACAAAAGGGTTAAGTGTATTTACCTACTGCTGCTAAAAATGGAACTATGCAATACAACTGAATCCTGATTCAGTGACTGACTACTCTCGTGAAGTCTGATTGAATAAAGTACAGCTACTAAGCAGAAGCTTAAAATTTAGCCTTACTTCCTTTAAAACACGTAAAACCATTTAATCATTACTATATTTTTCACGTCTACAGAAAGTTCAAGTTAGTATAGCTCAAATCAGTTGAAGAACCTGATATATTTCTTAATGGGTCTGCTGTCCAATTCTGCCTGAAGTATTGAATAATTTGCCATAACTTAATGAATATGGCTTACAAGAAACCTCCTGAGGCTTTCTTCAGATGTTAAACCATCACTTCTGCAGTTTATACTGTTCAGTTACAAGATGATGCTACATTCCAAGTTACATGTACCTCAAGTATCAGATGTTGGATTTGATGCTCTGTTTTCAGGGAATCGGGAGCAGCAGGATACTGTCTAGTCTTGTGTAACATACATATGCTCTAAACTGAGTATTTGCAGTTTTGTAGTCTCTCAAGACAGGCTGTATTAAAGGGCAAAGTTTTTAATCCTTAGGTAGAATCATCCAGAATGTTTTCTACAGTTCAGTGAACTGCCAGTATGACCAGCTTCCAGCAAGCTTTTCCTTAACAGTGCAGAAAACTGGAAAACAAGCAGCATTAGGTGTCTTGTGTCAAAATACAAACTCCTGTTGCTGAAGGGAAAAAGCCCGACTTCACTTGTTCATTGGTGTGGCTTCTGAGGTTTTAATTTGCTTGGTCATGAAGAATTTTAGTAAGTTATGGTCTTGCTTAAGACTGAAAGCTGTTAAGGAGACAGCCGATACAGGTAAATGTGTCTGACCTGACAGCAGGTGCCACCGAGGAAGAGAAGTTTTGGTGACAGAGGGAACAAGTTGGGCTGGGGAAGAAAGCAGTGGGTTTGAAAGGGAAAAGGACCAATGTGGACCCCACAGTGCTTGCCATGCCTCTGCTGAGACAGGAATCCATTAACTATGTGCATCAAGTGCACTGAGTAGTTGGAGGAAAACCTCATCTGCTAAAAGAGGAGCAGGTGGGCTGAAAAGATTGAGCATCATGATCTGTGGAATCTATTCTGACCTGCCAGCTGGGTCTGTTCACTTCAAATGTCACTAACATGTGGGAATGTTGCTCTTTTATCTGCAAATTTCACCTTCATATATATGTATTTTTGCCTTCCCTTTATGAATGTGACTTAGCCAGCTGGAGCTGCATCTTTCAAATCAATGTTGTGATGAAAAGCAGCCTAAATCCAAGTGTTGAAGGGACTGATGGTTGCAAGTTCTCTAGATCTCTGCCCGTCTCTTCAGTAATGGTATTACAAATAAGTAGACAGCTAAGAAAAACATTGTTTTTCCTGATTCCTGTTGTTTCCCGTCTACTTCTGAGTGTTTGCTAGAGTTGGGGAGGGCATATGACTGGGCAAGGGGAGGACTGGTCCTTTCCTAATTTCTCCCAGGGAAGAATGTCTGTAACTTGCAGCACTGTCAGGTTTCCTTCAGAAGAAAACAAACTGTTCTGTGAGTAATTAGAGATTTTCTTAAAATGGAAGCTTTCTATTTCATCTGTATTGTTTTCACACTGTCCCTGTCCTGTCCCCACCACTCCCCCCTAAGTGATTGTTTTCATGATAACTGCTGCTGTTGGTCAAATTCTTTCTACCCTTATCAAGGAATTGCCTTTAACTAATGCAGTGCGAGGACTTTGTCATTAATTCTTTCTGCTTTTAAGGACCATTTATTCTATTAAAACAAGCACACCTCTAGAAAGCAAACTGTGTAATGCTCCTAAGAATATTTATGTTGCTAATGGTATAAGCACCAACATTAAAAAAATAAAATAAAAGCCACAGAAAAACAACCCCAAACAAACAAGCCATCAACTTGTTCAGTATTGCATTAACTTGTGTGAAATGCATCTTCAACATCTGTAATACAAAAGCTTTTGCAAGTCTGTGCAGATCTCAAATTCTAGCCTTCTGTAGCCAGAGGCAGTTGTTACAGAGCTGACACTCTGTAGTTTCCAAGGGCACTATCTTGGAACCTAATGTGATCTAAAATGCTAACTCGGTATGAATTTGCAATGTTTTTAGGCAGCTGCTGCTTTGGTGGCTTAACACTTAAAACTTGAGCTGCTGAAGGTCATGTGAGCTGTGAAGTCTCCATTTCGGAGCATCTCTGTCCTCTAATTCAAAATGCAAACAGCTGAACCAACTCAGCTTTGATATTTTCTCAAAATGGGAGAAGTGTCTTGGAACATTCTAGGGATCTGAAATTGCTTCATTGCTTCCGAATCTGGGTTTTGCCACAGGCTTAGGCTTAGTTTTTGGGGGAAGATTTGCTACTGTACCAACTTCTTTCCAGAGATAAAATTTTGGCTTTGAGTCAAACTGGCAGAGTTGGAGCCAGTTTTATTTTTCTGGGTTTTTTTCCCAGACTGCTTATGAGGCATAACTTTTACTTCAGCTGTATGCGGTACACAGCAAAAAACAACTGCAGCATTATCAAGCTTTCAGAAAATTGTACAGAAGTTGTGTACAATATCTAGCAAGAGATAGAAAAGCTAAAAGCACAGGCTCTTAACTGCAAGTGTGTAGAAAAGAAGAGCCAGCTTTTCTACTTGACGTTTTTACCTTTGATTTTTCTTTCCACAAGCTCAGTTAATCTGCACTTGTTACTGCTGCAGTCAAGGCTGGTAGCACAGACATGTTGAAGGTGTGAAATGTGTTTACTGCCTCCTTCCTTGCCCTGGCCCTTTTTGCCTGTTGCTTTGCATCACTGACTAACAATGCACCAAGTCATACTCTAGTTACCAAAAAAGGAGTTTTCACTGAAGTACTCGATCTTGTTGACTCAAGCACTGTTCATGTTCTGCAGGCAAAACAAAGTTATTCTTTTCATGACTAGAATGAAGAATCCAGTAGCTTGTGTGTATGTAATTTATCATTACTTCATTTCCTTCCTTTCATAAAACCATGAAGTTCTTGTTTTCTTGCACCTTCCTATTCTTTCCAGATAAACGGGATTACAAGCTTTTCTGTCCAGGTAGAGAGGAAAAGGCAGGGTCTAAATTCCTTAGACCATTTGGAATATGCTCTAGGAAACATCCTGAATCCCCTCCCTACAGAGAAGGGAAGAGTAAAGAAAGCAAAACAGGACTTTGGGCTGAGGCTTTTTCAGTACTGTGAGTAGAGAGGTAGGTATTAATAATTTAGGAAATGTTGGTAATTCTTAATATTAACTGTGAAATATAACCACATATGATCATTTGTAACTGACTAGAATTATAACTAAATAATTTCAGCATGCTTGTTCCTGAGATAGCACTTGAACTAAAGGCACAAGCTTCTTTAATTAAAAACAAAAGTAAGCTGAAAACCAAAGTACATTTTTTACTTGATGCCTCAAGCTTTACTGGAGGTATTAATGTGATTAACATACCACTTCAGTTGTGTATTAGTGAGTATCCTTGTGAGGTGTAGCATTTATCACTACTTTCTCTACCTTACCTTGTCATATATGCAGTTAAGATATTTAAAACATGAGCATCGCCAAGGGAAAATGGTATTTTACCACTTCACTACTTTCAAGTTCAGTAGTTTAACTTGCTATGAAAATTGAGATGAGTGAGAGTTAGGTGCCAGTGATGGCAATATTTTCTGGTATGTGGTGCCAATTTTAAGAAACATTGTCCATGAATAAATAAACTAAAATGGTAACTTTGGATGTTGTCTGTTAATTTACAGAATAACTTATTCCTGAAAATAATAATCAATGTCAATGGATCTGTGGTCTGCCATAGACAGTTTACAAATGCTGGCCTGCAGCAGTAAAGTAACCGGATAGTATTGTGTGGCTCTTAACTCTTTACTGCTGACTCACTTTGAGAAACTGTGCAAACTGTGGTTTTTTTCACGTAAAAGGAATGCCTTCCTCCAGCTTTTATGAAAGCTGCAAAAGACTACAAACTGCTGAGTACAGGAGATTGAAGGCTTTGGCAATCTGTTTTCACTTCTGCTTCCTCATGGAAAACTCCCTGCAGTCATATACTTACAGACAGAATAGTACATATATTGATTGCAGGGAAATGCTAATTTAATTTGGAGAAATATTAGATTTCTCCAATTCAGAATTAATTTAGATTAACTTAGCCTTCAGGAGGAATAGCATGCAAGGGTGATACCAGTCTAGTGTACTTCTGTCTAATAAGTACATCCTGTACTCAGCTTAAGTGACACTTTCACAGACCTGGACTATTGAGTAGTTTCTTCTCTTGTGGGAGAAACAAGGTCTGATTTTTCTGCTGTGGAAAAGCGCAAAATAGCACTGTATTGGATTTAGTGGCAAGGTGTTGTCAGGGAGGGGCGGAGGGGTCCTGTGGAGATTGCCTCTGTGAGTAGAGACCAGGGGCTGCCCCTGCATTGTACAGAGCTGCTTTCAGCTGACTCCAAAATGAACCCACCATTGCCCAAAGCTGAGCCCTTCAGCCAAGTTGGCAGTGCCTCTGTGCAAGCATATTTAAGAAAGGGTAAAAAATACCGTGCAGCAGCTGTGGGAGAGGACTGAGAAAAATGTGAGAGAAACATCCCTGCAGGCACCAAGGTCAGAAAAGAAGGAGGGGGAGGAGATGCTCCAGGTGCTGGAGCAGAGATCTCCGAGAAGCCCATGGTGAAGAAAGTAGTCCCCCTGCAGCCTGTGGAGGACCCCACACCACAGCAGGTAAACATACCCTAAAGGAGGCTGCAGCCTGTGGAAAGCCCACATGAGCAGGTTCCTGGCAGGAG